GAGAGAGAGAGAGAGAGAGAGAGAGAGAGAGAGAGAGAGAGAGAGAGAGAGAGAACAATGGGTTCAATTTAAAAGGGATACTTTCTCTTCCAAACTCTGCACCATGGCCAAGATGGTATTTTCACTAACCCCAGCTGCTGCCTCATGTTCCCCGATGACAAGCCTTCTGTGGCCCTAGTGGCAGCTGCAGTGACAGGTTGGTCACGGGGCATTGCAGCATGTGTGGATTCCCCTGCAGCTGTGCTTTCTGGTGTATTCTTTTATCTAGGTTTCCCTGGTACAAGGACCTTGGTGAGATCCAGATGTTGAAAAAAAAAGACTCCACTTGATCTCATCCTAATACTGCTGGCACTGTGGTGCCATGCTCATCAATCAATGTTTTCTAGAGATAAAGGACAATTAAAACCCAGCTTCTATTTACTGTCATGCCTTAAAAATAAAATAAAAAACAAAACAAAACAATAACAACAACAACAACAAAAAAAAAAACCCTACTTCCTTAAGAAAAATTCAGTTATTTAGCTTGGCAATGATCATAAAATTGGCTCTGTTTGATCCCTTCCCTAATGTGCTGCCAAAAGTCTTTCTTTGCTGTGATGGAACAATGAAAATTTCTTCAAGGCTGCATTCCCCACAACTTTATATTCTTTTGTCCAAGGCACAGAATTCCTCTGGCATTGCTGTCTATTCTGGAGCCAGTTCACAGGTCCAGCTGCTGCCTGTGTGCAGGACTGATTAACATAGCATGGATGCTGAGGGGATTGAACTAGGAATTGTTTCGTGCTGTCCAGAAGCTATAGACTGAGAATAAAGGAACCCGGGCTGCTTGTGCCGGAAGACCTTGGGTGAGGTTGGGGTTGTCTATCATGGAAACGATATTTTTTGCAGAATGAATTCCAAAGGTCAGAGTGTTCCGAGACGGGAAACATCAAGCAATAATGAGGACAAAAACCCAACCTAGAGTGAATGCACTTCTAAAATAGATTGTCTTTATGGAGAAGAAGAAAGACAAGGGCTTGTGTGTGTTTGTGAGGCTTTCCGTTAAAATAAAACTACCTATGGATGCCTTTGAATTTTTGCTTCAGTCAAAATTTTGGTTTGAACATGATAGAAATTTGTTGTTGCCACGTCTCCTAGTCTTTGAAAAGGAGAAAAAAAAACTGAGAACACTGTGTGTATGTTTCACTTTATCTGGGAGTACAACCCTGAAAATCCACAGACTTTTAAGGAGGCAGGGAAAGATATCTGTACCATGAGAAAGAGATCATTCTGAGTGAAGTAAAGCAGAGACAAGACAAATCTAGATAGAAAAAGACTGTCTTAAAGGGGAGCATCCCATGAAAAGATGAATACAATGCAGAACTGAGAAGCTATAAAAATGGGAGGGTTGGAGCAAAACTGAGAAGTGTCCATCAGAGCTTTGTTAATGACACTGGGCACCTTTTATCTCTAGGTAGCCGTTTGGGGCACCTTCTCCCTGCCAGCAACTAAAACCACCATTCTTTGGTGGTCATGAGAAGAAGCTTATGACTGACCATGCCCTAGGATCACAGGAGAAGTAAAGGGCATGGGTGAGAAGGAAGGAGAGAAGAGGAAGGCTTTCACTGCCTTGCCTTTTGCCCTCTTTGTATTGTGGAAAAATAGAAGTCATGACTCTTGAGGAACTACAAGCCCCTCCCTATATTATTTCATATTATTTATGTATGAATTTATTTATTTGTTTGTTTTTGTTTCATTTTTCTCCTACAAGCAGGCAAGATAGGATGAAAATGACAGAAAATAGAAAGTCAAATGAAGGCAAAAAATCACACCCTTGTTGATGAGTAATAATAGTTTCCCAGTTAAAGCTTTGTGATTTTTGACATTCCCTTTTACTTTGATAAAAAAAAAAGAGATGAAGACAATTTCATAAATTTCTAAATTTGCAACCACTCACCCTTCCAAGCAGGAGTACGCCTATAAGGTATTTCATCTTTCCATAGAGCTATGGCTCTTTCTTTGCTTTTATAAAAATCCCTGGCTACAGATGTGACATCAACAGAGGTAACTGGCTGCCAACTGAGAGTTTTGTGCTTTCTTTTTCAGTTTGCCTGAAGTGGGGAATCAGGTTTTCAGTGTGATAAATACAGGCTGACTCAATCATGTTGTTTCCTGGCAGCAGCAAGATTCCAGGCTCCAGGAGGCTCTGGGAGACCTTGCAGCTAAAGAAGCTTGTCTTCATGGGAGCCCTTGCAGCTAAAGGAGCTTGTTGTCATTGGACAAATCCTAATTTGCCAGACAAACAGGTATCTTCTTGAAAGTTAGCCAAGGGGAGGGTTTCCAATAGTATTTGAGTTTGGGCTACCCAACTCTACAGCTTTGAAGAGAAATTTATGTTCTCAATTGAATGGCTCAGTTGTTACATTTTTTTCCCTTGGCTTCTAACTTACTCTTAGATGTGTATGGACAACCATGCAATACTTATCATTACAAAAGGGGACTGAAGGACTAGATATGGTGCTATATGCCTTGAATAGCAGTACTCAGGGCATGAAGACAAGATTACCATGAGATGGAGGCCACTCTAGACTACACAGAGAGTAGAAGGAAAACCTGAGGTGTATAGCAAGACCTTGTCTCAACACTCACACTTATAGAAAAGAAAAAACTGTGAAGTAGTGAAACCGAGTTAACAGCCTGAAAGCTGTAAGTCCAACAAAGGCATTCTGTACCATGTGCCCTCTGACAAAATGCTTGTTTTAAAGTGTCCTGTCTAAATGCACAATAGGGCTCACATATCCTCAGAGGGTCTATTCCAAGGACTCCAGTGGATGTGTAAAAAGCAGAGAGTGCTGGACCCTGATTATAAACATTTTTCTTCATACCTTGAAATGTTGCCATAGTACAAGACTTGGTTGGTCCTTCTAGGTTTTGTGTCACTCATTTGGATCAATACTTCTATACATTATGAACATAATTAACTAAAGCAATAAGCACAAAACCCATGACACTAGGACAGGTGATCTGATAATCAAAAGGGCCAATAAGTGACAAATGGGGGGGGTAGTATATGGAGTGTAGATAGAATACAAAAAGTCATGCTTTATGTCAAGAGTGGGATGCAGTGGGATGATAAAATGTATCACATTACTCAGAAAGGCTTACAATACGAGATGAATTATTTGTTTCTGGACTTTTCCATTTAGATTTTTTTAAACACAGTTGACCACAGATAATGGAACCACTGAAACCTCAGAAGGTAAAATCATAGGAAAAAGGCACTACTATGTTCTCTCTCTCTC